AATAACTGATCACCTATTTATGTTTTAATTAGATTTGATATGAAAAATAATATTGAAGAAATAAATATGTCAGTGTTAATGTCATGAGGCTGACGACTCCATGACACTTTCAGTTTGACTCATTAGGATTTGATTAAGAACCAGATTTGTTCTTTGTAATTTCTGTCCAAGAAAACTATTAATCTATAAATCAATAGACAGGTCTATATAAAGAAATGATCCATGTTTCCGTCTCATATTTCTATGGCATTAAAAGGAACTTTTGTTTTTCCACTGAAACTCTGGTTTACGCAGTAAATGCCATGTGGGTGAAATTTTATGGATGATACTCTGATGTCCCATTCTCCTGAAGGCAGCACAGAGCTGCACCACCAGAAACTCATAGAAATATTGGAGAGAAGAAGAGCTATAATTGACAAAGTTGGAGTTCTATCCACGTTTTAATGTTTCAGAGCTCAGTCTTTTTGCAAATAGTTCAAAGTTTAACTGGCATTGTACATCTTTTATCTGGTCATTTTGTGCAATATTTAACAACTAGAAAATGGCACTGAACAAGAATATTTTTTCCACTCTGGCTGCCGATTTTAAGTTGAATATCCATTCATTGCATTTTTCTTAGACGCCTGTAAAAATAATTTCTATTCCCATGGCTTTTTTGTTCTCTGGAAAATTATTTTTGACGATAATTCCAGAAACAACCATAAAAATCAAAACATCAACAATAGTGATAGTAATATTAATAATAAAATAATATTCAGTGGAAAGTAGCCTACAAATTATTTGATGGGGGGCAGTAAGGGTCCTGGATAGTGCATAGGGCCCAAAAAAGGTTGAGAAACATTGCTCTAGCAAAATTCTACCTTATTTACCAATAAGGACTTTCACTAGGACTCATCCTAGAAACCAGTGGTTCTGCTTTCCTCTATAAAGATTTTTGTTTCCAAGCCAAACAAATATCTGTGAGTCTCTATTCCTCTGTAAAGATTTTTCTTCATCTTTATGAGTGCCTTTTCCTCTATAAAGACCCCTTCTTCAGCTCTCAAACAAAATGTGAATTAAAGTCCTGAGTATGAAGGTTGAAAATTTGCTAGAAAAAACATTTCTCCACTGTCTTTTTTATTTTGCACCGTGAGTAAGAACCAGATGTGCGAAGTTGATAGTCGTCAGTCCAAGGAATTAACAGCACACTTACCTGGAAAGGTTTACACAACAACTTTGTAGGTATATTGCCCAGGCTGAGCATCAACCATTGCACTGTGGTGGTGAACCAGGGCACCCTCAGTCCAGCCTGCACAGATGTGCCCTTGCTTTCACCAGGACTGGCTTGTCCAGTTTGGACGAGCACGTCAGGCCTTCACAGACGTGTTCCTGGTTTAGCATCACATCGCTGGGTACAAATCAATGGGTGCACTTTAGCAGGCCCTGGTTAAATTTCTTCGGGAATTTAATTGATTCCTTTACTATTTTATATTTTACAATTTAGAATTTACAAAGCAAATTTATTAGACCGAGTATCTCACCAGATACACTCAAGTATCTCTGATGAGCAGTGATGTCAGTAATGTGTTACTAAGTAACGTCAGACCATTTTTTCCAGTAACAAGTAATCTAACGCGTTGCTTTTTCAAATCCAGTAGTCAGACTATCCATCCATCCATTTTCTGTACACCATTGTCCCTTTATGGGGTCAGGAGGGTTGCTGGTGCCTATCTCCATCTAACGTAAGCTGGAGATAGGCAAGAGGCAACGCAAGAGGCAGGGTACACCCTGGACAGGTCGTCAGTCTGTCGCAGGGCAACACAGAGACAGCAGGACAAGGAACCATGCACACACACACTCACACCTAGGGACAATTTAGAGAGGCCAATTAACCTAACAGTCATGTTTTTGGACTGTGGGAGGAAACTGGAGTACCCAGAGAGAACCCACCATGCACAGGGAGAACATGCAAACTCCATGCAAAAAGACCCCAGGCTTGCCTCCCTGTACATTTTAGGGAGTACAGGACTTTTTTTCTTGATTTGAGGTTATCTACCTACATACCAAATTTCAGATCTCTACGACCTACAGTTTGTCTTATCTCACGTTAGGGGGCACTGTACAGCAGTTCGGCCACGCTCACTTTCGATTCCACTAGAATCTGAAAACTTTAGTTGAGGGACAATTTTGGGTGAAGTTTGGTGACTTTTTGAATATGTTAAAGCCTCCAAAAAGCCCTGGAATTTGACAGAAAAATAATAAGAAAACCTGAGATTAAAATAGGCCTTCACAGCACTGTGTTGATTGGGCCTAATAAAATAAAATATGAACAAAGCATTGTATCCAAGCAGTGCAGTACCAGACATTAATTTGGCATGAACTATTTAAGAACAAACCCTTTAAAACAGCAACAGGAGACACAAATTACTGGACACAGTGGATACAATAATTAGTGTAATTATTTACACTAATTACTGCCCCCGTGCAACAAGAAACACCCGGAACTACCAACTTAGTAACAAAAATAAGGAAATTAGTGATGGATGATGAAAGGAAATTAGTAGACAAATAGTACCAGTAAAAATAAAAGATGTTCCACCACAAGATTTGAGAATGTTCATAATAATAACAAAATCAACTTGCTGCACTAGGCCGTGTGTATTTCATCAATATCTTCACTCTCTGTCTTTCTGTACTTCTTGTCATCTTTCAGTTTGGACCTCCTAAGCATACCTTTTGTTTTGTTTCTTTCAGGTATTATCTCCCTGGTCATCTTGACAGTGCTGTGCTTCATGGTGTTCGTGATTCGCCACATGTTTCGTCACAAGGGCTCATACCACACTAATGAGGCCAAGGGAGCAGACTCAGCAAACTGTGCTGATGCAGCCATTATTGTCAATGACCCGGCCTTCACTGAAACTATTGATGAGAGCAAGAAGGAGTGGTTCATCTGACGTCTGGAAAAGCCTTGAAAACGTCACTCATGGACATGGGTCGATTTTTTTTTTTTTTCCAAGCTTTGGGAGTATTTAGGAAGTGGCAAACTGTGGAACCTTAAGCATGTACGAGTCATTATTAAAAAAAAAAGCAACTTTGTGGACAGATGTAGAGAGAGATGGTATTATGGCACAAAGCACACCACAAGTTATTTTACAATGGTTTCTCCTAAATGGACAATGCAACAAAGTAAAACGCTTCACAGGATTGTGCCATAAAATCATAGAATGAAATTGTCTTAGAACATATCAGTTTTGTTTTTTACCATTCTGAAATACATTTTCTATTAAGTGTCAATATTATTTTTATTAGCTTTATTTATTCAGACTTATTTATATGTATTTTTCTGTTTATATTTGATCTCCATAAAATGTGACACATTGTATCCATCATTATGCCACAAAACATCCATAATTGTAGCCATTATTTAAATTGTATCTGTTTTTACCATATTTTTAAAGATTTGTGGCCTGGGCTTTGATTGAACCCTGGATGTGTACGTTCTGGCCGGTCTGTAAGTACAGCTGATGAAACACAATAAGGCTGCATTTTACATGATAGACAGCATTGACTCTTCTAGTTGTTGGTTTTAAAATCCAAACGGGCCAATTAGTCCAAACAGGTTCTTATATTTAGGTATTTTTGTATTTTTCTTATGTTTCCACACTACATTTACTTCTTAAGATACATGAAAACCCCTGACTGGACTATGTTTTAAGTTGGTCAGATAATTCTTTTGGAATTATTTTAAAAGGACTCGTATAGCATCAGTCTCTTGAAACCAGATATTTAATAAGTTATTGCAAAGGAATGTTTATTAGTTACATGTTTAGCTCCACCTTAACTCTGGACATTTGATTGTAATGCATTTTGTATTTATTCGTTTTCTTGTATGCTGTTTGACACTGACTTGCCCTATATTTTTTCTTTATGAGCCACTGTAGAACCACATAGTTTTCTTCATGTTACATGGATAAAAACAATCCAAAACGTACTTGTAAATTTGGTTGACTGGTTTTCTTGTTTAACTGTGTAGAAAAAACCCCTGAGAAGGCACTGCTGGTTTAAGATGAAAATGGTCAAATTCAAAACGTTATTGTACTTATAAGTAACATTGGACTCTTCTATGTGATCAGATGCATACAGCATGTGCATTTCCAGATTTTCCACAAAAAGTCTTATATTTACAGACATATTTTTCTTTATTCCATATCCACTTATCTAAATGTTGTCTTTCTTCATCCTTTGATTCATTTTGTAACAATTATAGGCCACGCAGCTAACTGCGGCTACAAAAGCAGTATCAGAAAACAGTTCTTTAAGGAGCCTGAGGTGTGAATGAAGACACAAAGAAACTGTTTTAGTTTGATGTATGTGTATTACTGATTTTTTTGGAAAAAAAAGGAACAAAAACAACAACAAAAAAACAATTACAAATACACTAATTCAAATAAACCAATTCAAGAATCCTAGAGGTCTTGTCCTCTTAGCTCACCATCATTTGCTCAGGATCTGAGGATCTGATCCATCATAAAAAACCTGACCTAAGAGGCCAAAAAGAAACCATTAAATATTTTATCCAATAAGTATGCAACATACAAATGCAATAAATATCAATTCAAATACTATTAAATATCTAGTAATTAAACTAAACATTTGTCAGGTTAAATTAACCATAATTTAAAACAAAAGAACAATCATATTTCAACTAATCAATTTAAGGTTAAAGTTGAAATCAAAGTTAACTTTCAAAATATCAATCAAGGAAAATAAAATAAATTAACTCAAATACTCAAGCAAAATGAGAAAAAGAAATATACTGTGCAATATCAAATTAAATGTAGCTACATCCTATTTTCAATCTGAAGAAATCTTGCACAAACCCAACGGTTACCTTTGAGCAGAGAGTGCCAGACTACAATCAGCTGTGAATTCCAGTGACGGCCCAGGTAACAACCGCTGACAGTCTAATAAAACAATGCTCCAATGATCAATTGAGCAACATTTTTATGGTGAACAATACTGCTATCAACCCAGCAAACTCACCAATAGTTCAAATCAGTTGTTTCAAAGATTTGGATGGATTTCCAGTATGAAACGTTCAGCAAGACGCCAACAGCCAGCCACAATCACAGTGGAACAGGTGGAGTGTTACTGCACTGGAGGCGGGGCTTTAAATAAGTTGACGATTTTAGGGCAAGACAGGAAGTAGGCCCGCAAAATAAAAGTCTGGCTAATTGACTAATTACGGGTTACAATTTGTACAAGCAAAACTGACAAAGGCTCTGACAACTGATCGTTACCTTTACAAGCTAAAAACAAATGCCATGCTGACAGTTTTTATGCACAAAGCGCCTAAACCCCACTGCCGCCGGCTAGAGAGCAAATAATGCTGGGAGAAACATCAGACAGACAGCACCGGAAGCTCTTTTAAAAGAGTAGTAGTATCTGCGGCACTACTGCTGCCCTGTTTACTTCCGAACCGAAGACCTGACCCTGACCAAAGACAGCTGTTACCAGACCAGACACAAAGTTACAAAACTCCTTATCAGATCATACACTCCGACCAGAGGTATGTCATTCATTGTTTCATTTATGAAGCTGAAGGTAGCAGCAGTAAATTACCAGCTTCCCCTCTGTCCTCTTTCTCCATTTGGTTCTCCTCATCCTCATTATTACTCTTTGTGGTTTCTACATTCCCATTGCTTTCAACGTGTTCCAGTTTAAACTGAAAAGGCTTAAAGATGTCACTCATTGCTGTTTTGGCTGGATGGAGCTAACACAGTCAACCTTTAGATGTCATTTACCCAGAATGCATTGCAGTGTGGCGATGGCGATGTTCTTGTGACAATATTTTATTAAAATTTATAAAAACTAAATAGCCTACAGTGTTATTACTGTGTTTTTACATCTAAAATAAATATTTCTCAAATAAAGTCTAATGTTACAACTAATCATGGATTCCTTTAAGGGACAACACAAAGTGGCCC